ACGTACCCTTATACGCTGCAGGCGCGCCTTTTCAAACCGCGCAGCGCTCGCTCACCCGGTCTTCCACAGGCGTTTTCTTGATGTGTGGGCGTGTGGCACGAACGTAGTCACTCGCGTTCGTCAATTCCCAATTAGGAACATCGTAAAATAAACGTTCATACACACTGCATAAACGGAAGTTACCGATTGTTTATAACCATAAAATTATTGGTCAATGTTTCCTTTACGTACTTGCATGTGGAGATTTCCGTAGAAAACAACAATTTCTTAATAAAAAAAAATTATTGCCTGGGAATGACTTGTTGAGAACTTTAGATATGCTAATTCCTCTAACAACACACTCCCAGCAAAAGTAGCGGATTTACTAATATTTCCTGTAGTAGAGCAGATCTTTATCTCTCCCGTGAAAAATGGTTTCATTATCAGGGATAGACTGCTTCCAAAAAAGAAAAAATCTACCGGTTCCCAAAAAGGAACAATGGAACTTAATGGGTTAAAAGACACCTTATTTCAAAAAAACCTTGACAATAAAATTACTGACAATACAATTAAACAGCAGCTAATTACAGCACTACATTTAAAACAGCTTTATGAATGACATTACTGAATAACCATAAAAAACACACAACATATGGGATAGATAAAGTGTTTTTTAAATGTAATTGTCAAAGTTTTTAATGTGTATTTTAAGAGGCACAATGTTATATTCCTTGCAGTTGGCCTGAAGATAAGGTCAAGAGAACCTCGAAACGTATGAAATTTTTAAAATGTCAAATAAACCCAATATATGTTATATACTTGATTGTCTTCGAAAAACAGGCACTAATCAAAGCCAATTAATATTTCAATTGCTTATTTCAGAAGTGACGCAATCACCAAGTTTACCAATCTCACAAAAAACAAGAAAAACTCTGGTATTATATTAAATTTTTATGGTCATGTTTTTAAAATTTTTTGGCAGGAAGTAGAATATATTTTTGTATTTTCTAAGAAAATTTTGACGAGCTCTTTATCTTTGCTGTAAAATTAATGAAGATTTTACATTTAACTGGTTTCTGCAAGGAATGAGTGGTTTAAGGGAATTTTTAGGATGTAATTCTTAAAGTTTTTGCCAATTTGTAATGAAGCTCAGATTTTTGTTAATTGGAAGTTTGCCAATAAGTTTAGACTACGCTGGTAATACAAAGATATAATTAAAAAGATGAAATCAGATAAGCATTTGAAGTCGTTGAGGTCATTGATCAACTTTTCTTTAAGTTTTGTGGCATTTAAAATGAGCTCCCGCATACTTGTTGCAATATATATACCGTGTGGCCCACCTAAGATGTTCCCTTCAACTTTCTCCTGAACCGTTGTAGATACTGAGATGCGGTTTTCAGTAAAACTACTATATGGAAAGGTCACATATGGCCATGCATAATATTATTCTATTGCATTTTTTATTGCAGAGAGATTTACCCAACTTCGATTTTTTAAATGGAACCCAATTGGTTTTTTTAGATCATAACAAGCATAAAGAGACGAGTTCATAAATATGCATATCGCCATTCCGTCATATAAACGGAAGTTACCATTGTTTATAACCAAAATATTATTGTTCAATGTTTCCTTCACGTACTTGCATGTGGAGATTTCCGTAGAAAACAACAATTTCTTAATAAAAAAAGCAAGGTCATTGATCAACTTTTCTTGAAGTTTTGTGGCATTTAAAATGAGCTCCCAGATACTTGTTGCAATAAATATACCGTGTGGCCCACCTAAGATGTTCCCTGAACCAGCGACTGAGATGCGGTTTTCAGTAAAACTACTATATGCAAGGAACACATATGGTCGTGCATAATATTATTCTATTGCATTTTTTATTGCAAGCATTGCATTTTATGAACTGAACCGCTATTCGTACAAAACATAACAATGAAATATATTTATTTTTCACACTTGCTCAATTTTTTGGTCTCCTTACGTTAGAATTGATGAATGACTTAGAATATTATATAAAATACATTGTTCTATGCAGCAATTTCGTTGAAAAATAAAGAGCCAATTTTTTAGAAAATGTCAGTTAATTGTTTCTATAATTGTGACATTTGAAGCTTTTTCTCAAAGAAAACATTTGAGTTTTGGAGAAACTTCATTGGAAATTATTTGGAGCACTATTACTCACAAATGGAATAATGTACACAAATTGCTGGTAATGTCATGAGAGATACTTTAAAAAACTATTTTTGTAATTTTGGAAAAAACAAAGAATATATTAAAGTGACATTTGTGTCATGTAATGGAGTCCATTTAACACTACCCGTTCAAGCAATTTAAAGAAAACTTTTGGAGCAGTTTTCGAGAAAATGACGATTAAACGATTCAGAAAATGCAGAGTTGTGAGCTCATTTTCGCACTAAACTTGAGTTTTCAACGTTTATGACGTCATTTGAAGCTCATTAACGACGTTGAGAGATGTCTAAAAATTATATTTGTGTAGTTTTTGAAAAAAACAACAAAGGAATACAGCAAAATGGCATTTGCCATTTGTTGCAGTACATTTAGCACCGACCCCACCTAAAGTTTTAAGAACAAAATTGGAGTCGTTTTTGAGAAATGATTGTGATATTTTTAAATATTGCACCTATTTCATTCGACATTGTGCAAAATCTAATACAATTTCCTACAAAAAAATGTACATGACCTTAACGAAATAACTAATTATGGAGAATAAGTTTCATTTCAAGGAAAAATCTCAATATTCAATTTTTGTAGTTGAAGGAAGACTCCAACAAAATTTCAAAGTTTTGCAATTTTCGAAAGTGAGTTAACAGTGAAAATTGGATCATGTCATCTTTATAAGTGTGTTTTACACTTTTCGTACAAAAAAATTGGGGCCATTTTTGAGAAAAGTTTGACTTCGTGTAAAGTTTTCCCAAAATTAAGAAAAATATTTATCAAAATCGCAGAGCTTCGAGTGGAGCAAGATGGACTGGGGAATATCCATTTTGGGAACATTGTTTTGAATAGTTTATGCACTAGAATTGTTGACAGACAAGACCGAGTTAGTTCCATTTAACTTTGTACAACAATGTAAAGTTAAGACGATCTAAAGGCTGTTTTCGGGCTACTGCGCTTGATTCTAAATGTTTTGAAGTGAACTGTTTAGGTAAAGTAGAGGCGGAGCCCAGTAGTCCCGAAACCCTTTGATCGCTCAGGGAGGATTTATGTAGAAGTTCTGGATTGACAGAAAAGACATTTTTGCACAACTACATTTAATAATCACTGCACTTAAGCACTGGATTACGTGACACACATCACAGTACATGATAGCTGGAGCACAGTACTACTAAATTTCCTCATGCGAACGGTCTAGTACTTCTTCGCACAAATTAAATGATACTTTACACGTGCTAACCGAGAACAGCCCGAGATTGCACAATAAACTGAATGTTGAAGTGGGGTGATGCAGATAACCTACACTACACAGACAGTACACTTGCAGTTGCACGTACCAACTGGAACAGCCCCAGGTTTGACAGTAAAACTTTTACGTATGTTACACGGAGCTCGCCAACACGGACCACACGTGTCTTCGCGCGCTACTTGCTGCGGAATTGAACGACGGGAGCATCCTCAGATCGCCAGCGCTCAGGGGGAGGTATGACAGTGGCCTATCACCATTAGCCATTCGAATTTGTCGATGGAACGTTCTGGAGGGTCCGTTGCGAACTGCCAGCGGGCGGAGGGAAGCGCTTGCACGTGTGTTTCTGGGAAGGCCGTGGGCTGCATCTAGTGGTGCGTCTATCGATGCAACGGTCGGGCGCTGTGCCAGTTACAAATGAACTGTTCTGCCTTGCGTCGTATGAAATGAAATATTTATTCTGCTTTGCTGTCCAAACAGGCTGTCCAACGAGACAATGAAGTAGATGTAAACAAACCGGATTTTATCCCTCTGTTAAAACGCGTGATCCGGGACCACTGACACTGAGATGTCAACGCTGCGCCGTCACCGCCGGCTGTCCACGATCTCGCGTTCCTCCACACGTTGCACAGTACCCCACAATCGCATTGTGCAGCATGCGCAAGAGAAACGGACGAGAGCTTGATAATTCGGGATAGAGATCATAGCACTCGTAAGGATAGTAATGCATTCACTCTTCAAATTATTTTGAAAGTTATAAAAATTGCTGATAAGACGCGAAGCTTTTGTAAACAACAAATACGCGAGCAGGTCGTCTCGCTTATTGCGCATGGATTTTTATTGCATGTAAACTCAAAATAAACTCCTTAGATATTCCGAATGACTGACCCGCAATAAGCATCCGAAAGTTGGTTTGAAAATATTCTTTCAACGCAAAAATTTGCCTTTTATAAACTTGTAAGTTGTTTATTATTTACAAAAGAAATGAGTATATTTGTTCACAAAAAAATAACATGAATAAAAAAGCAGTTGAATTGTGTAATTCGGGTGTTTTGTTTTTCTGTGTTAATTTTTTGGGGAACAAATTTATTTATAATAAATTTTGTAAATAATAAACAATTTACATGTTTCTATAGTGTTAACATGTTTTTGAAATGCAAATTTTTGCATAGAAAGTATTTAGTCAAACCAGGTGCGGATCCACGGGGAGGGAAATTCTCCCCCCTAAAGTGTTTTAGTAACTATGTCCGGAAACCTTCAAGCAAAAATGTTTTCGGATAATCATTAAAAGGAATAAAGTATCGCCGCATTAGCTGAGTGTAACCTACTACATTTTACAAAACCTGAAATCTGTCACATTCGACCTAAACATTTTGAATTTCCCTCCCAAAATTTGTCTCCGGATCCACCCTTGTTCAAACAACTTTTGAATGCTTATTGCGGCTTAGCCATTCGGAATATCTAAGGAGTTTATGAGACAAAATACGTCTTAAGAGCTAATTTTCTAAATTTCGACGTTTCCTCACTGAACACCTGTGTGTGTGTGTTTTAAACAATAAATTCTGCTCCCTGTGATGTCGTGCGTTGTCTGTGGCAGGGCAAGAGCAAGCCCAGGAGCGTGTGGTGGAGGTGGTGGTGCGCGAGTTGGACGCGGCCCTGGCGCAGAAGGAGAGTGAAGCGCTGCAGCTGCAGGAGCGGGTCCAGGCCTGCCAACGGGATTTGCACTTGCTGCGTTTCGGCGTCACCTCCTCCTATTACAGACAATACATTGCTTCCGATGTGCCCAGCTCATCTCTTCAGAAAGTAAGTGTTGTATTGCTAGTGCTGTGTTTTTTTAATTTTGCTGTTTTCAAATGACACACGAATGTAATGCGTTTCTCCATTATCGAGCGGGGATTCTACGGCACTGCATCCCGTATTTTAGCATCAACGGCGTTCTATCCTGTGCATCTTCCCTATTCAGGTTCCTCTCAGTCATTGCGCTTTCTATTCCCAGAATCCACCATGCCTGCGGTCTTTCTCTCTAACTGGCGGGTAAAGAATAATAAATTACATTATAAGGCTAGAAAGTGTATGTCTAGACGAAAGAATTCCCAGCTGAGACCAATAGGGCGAGTCTAGGAATTCCACAGAGACATGGAAAGTCACTTTTCCTGAGTGATCTTTTTTTAGACATCAGTTTTATGACAATTTGCCCGTAAGATATAAAAATTTAATTGATGGTCACGAGAACATGTTATGTATATTTTTGTTCACGGGCTGCTACGTATTTTATTTTCTAATGGTTGTACTTTCATTGCTAGTACGGAAAGTACTTTCGGTACGTTTCCAGGTTGGTGTTAAAAAAATTGAACATTCTTGGCCAAAGACTGCGTAAGTATGCAACACTTTCCTACAGGGTTTCAAAAAAAATTGTTTTTTTTATTTTATTTTATTATTATTTTTATTTATTTATTTATTTCCCTCCCTGACATGATCTCAACTGTTTGCCTTCAGTTATGCCGTTACGTTTGGTAATCTGTAAGTTATGGTTGAGATTAGTGTTCTTTCTCATATTTCTTCATTGGTAATATATTAAAGTCCGGATACTGTGAAGGCTTTTCACAACAACACCTTCTCTACAGCTTCAGACTTTTTCCTGTTCTCTGAGGAAGGAAAAAAAGTATTGCAATCGTGCGCCGGAAAATGGTAAATTGTTGATAGCAAAAATCTCATTGCTTGGCCCTGGTAACGAAAGTCGATGAATCTTGTTCCTTTATATATTAAATTACTTCCTCTAACGTATTGTGTTGTTAGAATCCTTGTTTTACGGGTCCTTGATACCGAAAAATCGATTGACGACAAAATATCCGTTGACCCGGCAATGCTTCGGTATTGCAGTGTATTTACACTTCTCACGCCACTGGTGACGCTATTATTAATGTTTTACCCTACGCTCTGCAAAAGTTCTAATATATTTCATGCGAGTAGGGAGAATTTGTTCTATGTCCTTGTTGAATTTGCCTTATTTTACGTGCCAAATTTGAATTGAATTTGCCTTATTTTACGTGGCGAGACTCGGGCCATCAGGCCCGCTCTTCCGTCTGACCACGCAAATTTCGCTACGCTCCTTTCACCAACTAGGAGAGAAAGTAGGTATTTCTTGGGCGAGAAACAGGCGATTTGAATTTAGCTCAGAGGCGTCATTTAGGCTTGAGGATCTTTTACATGCAAGTAAATCTACGAACATGGGACAGCCGGCTTTACTTCCCCTCCGAAGGAAGGCGTACGAAGGATTTTTTCGCCCTTAAAAATCCACGGCCTCGATCGGGTTTGAATCCGCCAACTTGGGTACAACAGTCCAGTACGCTAACCGTTACACAATCGCCGCCGATTTTGTTACCGTTCCTATTACTTGTCCGAGACAACGTTCCAAGTAATAATTCCGGTCGATGTTTCACAGTCGCAGGGGCAGAATATGCTGTCACAGACGGCTTAAGACAAGGTAGTGCGGTTGCCTGGAGCTACTGTTCCTGGGCGCTTGAGTCATCATAAACGCATAAATCATCATCTACAAAGCCCCCACATGTCCAATTTAATGCAAAACACTTCCCATATTAATAAAAGCGAAGTGTGAAAATTTCAGCGAAATCGGTCGAGTAGGATTGCGCATATGTGCGACTATTTATATTTATATATAAAAAAAATTTCTTCCTCTTACACGTTGAGTAGTCGGAATCCACGTTCAGTAGTCGTTTTGTGGTTCCTTGATACCGAAACCGAATGATATTGAAATCGATTGACAGCGAAACATCTGTCTGTCGGCTGATCTGTCCGGGTGCCAGTCTGTCAGTTTGTCCTCCGCTCGCCCGCCCGCGTTCAGTCAACTCTAAACGAAAAGTGGCTTCGTTAGTGTAATTGTTAGCGTATCGGACCAAGTTCCCGGGTGTAGATTTATTTAGTCAAAAAACAGTAAAAACTGTATGTGACATGGGGGAGAAGATTACCTGCGCACGTTTTCTTGAGTTCCAGAATCCCTTCCCGTCATTTTAACTATAAA